TGCTTAACCAGTGCTAATCCATACAGTGGAGCAGAAGAGCTGCCATGAAATTTCAGCTGTGGAGTGAGCATAGGGCTAAAAGTTCTCTGGCTATGTTAGATTGCTGGATTTGTGTTTGCAAGCAGTTCCTAAAGTATTTTGTACCCGTGCTTCCCCCTCCCCCCCCCAGCTCCCAAGGTGAACTGCAGGGTGCTGGGGATGCGAAGCTGGAGCAGGGGAAGGGGTGGCTGGGGCCAGAGGGGGTCCCCTCTGGTGAGCTGGGTGCCCCTGCAGCTGGAGCTTCCCAGGCCTCTGCTCAGGCTGCAAGTGCCAACTCCTGTGCCATTTGCCAAATCCTGCCATTTTGCCACATCTCCACTGGGAGACTGCCTCTCCCTTGAGGAGCATAAGGGAGACACAGGAGTTTGTGCAGGTCCTTCCTGGAGGTGCCAGGTTGGAGCAGAGAGAGTCCCTGCTCACAGCCCCATATTAGACAGGAGCCTGAGCAGGACCTGTGGCTGCACCAGATGCGTGGGTCACCAGAAGATGCTGCTGAGGCCTGCTCAGGCAGCTGTGCAAGCAGTCAGTCCCTCAGTGCCAACAACTCAATCGAGTTAGGTCTCTCTGGGAGCCAGCTTTAGGCCAGACTCTGAAAAGGCTAGTGGCTGCCCGGCACAGAAGAAGCTCCTCACTTAAGTCCTCATTTTACTCTGTCTTCCTTTTGCAAGAAGCTTTCCAGCTGCTGTGCCTGCCATTGACCAGTGTGTGGGCTGAATCATCCTTCTGAGTGTGCCTGTGCTCTCTCCCCACAGCTCAGCCACCCCGACCTGGTGGAGGGACTCGTTCTTATTAACGTTGATCCATGTGCAAAGGGCTGGATTGACTGGGCAGCATCCAAGGTGAGATCCTCCCTCCCCTGCATGTCTGCTCACCACAGCACTTAATGAACAGTGCATAGAGTAAGAAGAAAAAGTACAGAGCACAGGAATTTGTTGGTTTACGGCAAAAATTGTTCAATCTCATCTCTGTCTCTGCTGCTTTCTCAGTCTGGGTGTAGTACGGCCTCCACCATAGAAGCAAGGGTGGGTGTGATGATATGTGAATGAGAAATCCTGGTAAACTGCTTGGAGATGAGTGGCTGTTGAGCACTCACCTGTCGTCTGATTTAATACTCATGCTTGCAGGCTTCATTTGGCTGAGGTTAAACGGATCTTTTAATTATTCTGTTATTCTGGCCACTTGCAGTTATTCAGGGTTCCAGGTTTCTGGAGGGCTGTGTGTTGTGTATGCACGGACTTCTTTGGAGCCTTGCACGCCCATCCCAAGCATCAGGCATTTGTTCCTCATATCGCTTGAATAGTTTCTTTGTTATTTCATTCATTCTGAGGAGATGCTTTGAAATTTGTAACGAAACTGCATTTTCCAGTTACTTTCCCTCCTCCTCATTCATGGTCACTCTTCAGTTTTCAGGCTGGACAACCAACATAGTGGATATTGTCTTGGCGCATCATTTTGGCCATGTAAGTACCCAGCAGGTGTTAACGTTGCCCATGCAACTGTACATGGAGCTATAACTTCTGCACTTAACTGCTCTGAAAGAGCTGTGGTCCACCACAGATAGTGCTATCTTCTCAGTGTGGCAAGCTCGCATCAGGGCTTTGCGCACTGTGGTGAGCCTGCACATCCTCACGCTTGTCCTGACTGCCTCCAGACGTGTTAAGAAAGTAATGTCCCAGCCACTGGTGCTAGAACTCCTGTCTTTGTGGTGCCCAGGCAATTGTCTGCAGAAATAAGTGGTAGCTAGTTCTCTGTAGCCAGCAGGGAAGCATTTTGGCTGTGGGTAGAGCACAGATCAGCTGGGAGTTGACAGGGAGATATAATTGTATGTCTCCAGATGTTGAACTGCTGCATTCTGCTCTTCATCTTCCACTTCAGTTCCAGCAGAGGCAAACCATCCCCTTCTGAAAACTTGGGATACAGCAATGCCTTCTGCTTGGGATTTGCTGGCTCCCAACCAGCAAGCTTGCTGGGCAACAGAAAGGGTCTGTGCCTCACGCATGCTATATATGACATCCAGCGGATCAGTTCCTGTCCTAAAGCCCTTCTGCAGTGACACAAGTCAGCATGGGAAGGAGTTGCATAGCTTCCTCCTGCTTAGAGGATATGTGTTCTCACCCTGCTTTCAAGCCCCTTCATTATATGTAGAGCTTCTCTGCATTCCCTTTTCTCTGTCTCTCTCTAGCTGTCATTGGAATGCAGTTTCTTCATAGAACTTTGTGTTGGGATTAAATTTTCCTTTGGTCCCAGTCTTGGGGCTTGCCTGTAAAGCTTTGCTTCTTTAGCATTAAGCATAAGCAGAAGACCTTCCTAAATCAAGAGTGATTTGTATCTGTATAAGCATTACTGAGGCTCAGGAGCTAACTTGTCCCATCTCAGGATACCGTTGTATTCCTGCAGCAGCACATCCACTGCCATTTGTAATAGTCGCATTAGCAAAGTATGGCACTTAACAATCACGTCACAGGAACACTTAATGTAGCCTAGGTACTGATGCAGTCTGGAGTCACTACCCTCTGTGGTGTTGTCCACAGAGGAATGATGTGTAGGGAGGCAGTTTAATGCTTCAGTATTTTTATGAGTATCATTTCTTCACTTGTGAAAAAGATTATGTTCCCTGTCTTTCAATTCTTCTGCTTTTGTACAGGAGGAACTGCAGGCAAATCTAGATTTGATCCAAACATACAGGCTTCATATCGCACAGGATATTAACCAAGATAACCTCCAGCTATTCCTCACCTCATACAACAGGTACAGGATACCTTTTTGCCTGCTAGGTTGCTCCCACAGTTTCCATGCTCAGTAGATTTGCTGCTGTATGTATTATTCCATTGGATATTGTGTCATGTGAACCTTTGTCCTAAGCCTAGTCTTCAGCCATTATCCTGAGCCAAGCTCAGTCTCATGCCTGGCTGACCCTTTCACACCTCAGTAGATCATCCCTCTAGGTACGCAGCAAGCTTGCTGTGAGAGCGTGGATCCTGTTCTGTGGCAGTTACTACTGGGGCTCCTGGTCATGGCATGACACAGGGAGCGATACCCTGTTGTCTGGGTGCTGGAGCCAGCACTCCCGGTTGGATTTTGTACGCTCCCACAATAACCAGTTTCCTCTGCTGATTTGATGGAGAATTGTTCTGTTTTGTCTTTCAGTCGTAGGGACCTGGAAATTGAGAGACCAGTTCTTGGCATCAACGAAAATACTGCAAAAACACTCAAGTAAGTTGCTCTGTATCAGCCTGTGTCAGCTGCTTCCTGTGCAGTCCCTTCAGCAGAAAAGCTGTTGCTGCTTCTCAGCCAGAACCCCACAGGCCCAAGTGCTGGGCAGACTGTTCAGAGTGTCCCAGGCTTTGGTGCAGTGCTGTTCAGCTAGGGCGGGGGGCAGGGAGGTGCTGGAAGCCCTTTCATTGAGAACACACTGGGATTCTCCAGAAGGCAGAGTCAGAGGAATAAGTGTATCAACCGAGCAGCTGCTGTGCTTGCTGGGTGCGGTTGTTTTGCGTGAAAAATTAGGAAGGCAGATTTTTGTTTGTTGCCACTGACTGCCTTCCCCCACCTTGCCAAAAAAAGTTACCTCTGCAATTCTTCTAGAGATGGCAGTGGGTTTCAAACGCAGAGAACGCAGCAGTGATTTCCCACCTTGGCAGTGACTCTGTCGTCTGGGAGGGGACAGTCTGTGCAGGGTGCAGCTCAGAAGGGGCGACACTGGAGAACTAGTGATAACCAGCACAGGGCAAGTGTAAGTAATTTTTCAGATTCCAGGCAAGAAAGCAAAAGGGGCAAATTATCTACAGCATATAGAGCATGTGGAGACTGCGAGTTGCAGGGCTGAGGCAGGATGCCTGGGCTGGGCTAGAGACTGCTGCCCAGGCTGTTGTGCTCTTTGCTCCTTGGAAATTGTATGGACTTCTGCTCCTGCCAGTTCCAGGAATGTTTTAGGCATCCACAGCCAAACCTTCTAGATCTTGGCTAACCTAGAAGAGGTGGATTTCCCTGCTTGGTCTCCAGGCAAAGCCAATCGTGCTGCTCTCTGTTATGCTCTGTAAGTCACAGAGCACTGTCTGTCCATTCAAGTGACTCACAGGGATCTGCAGACCCTTAAAATATTTCTTGTGGAAGTGTGGATCTCTGTGCCAGTAGACTTACATATAGGTCCTCTGCCTCCTTAGAGGTAGGACTCCATGGGCTCTGAGGTCTGTGGCTCACAGCCTCTCTAGTTTTATTTTTGTCATCTAGTCAACAAACAGAATTGGGGCCTCTCGCCACCCTTTCTTACCTTTATCTGTAAATGAATGATGTAAATTCACAGCCACTTGGTTGGTGACCTCCTGTGTATGTTTTACACATTGAATGTTAATTGTCTCCTAGAATTACAATACAGATAAAAATGGATATGAAGGCACAGATTTGCCTACAGAGGCTCTGATATCATGACATTTTTCAATATATTCCGCAACAACTTTTGTGTTTCTTTCTAAAACCCAAACCAAAATGTAGTGCTGAGCAGTAGCCAGTCTCAGAAGCATTAAACTCTGTTGGATGTGGTTATTCTTAAATTCCTAATGGACGTTCATTTCAGAGAGTGTGCTTCTTTTTGCAACCTGGGGTGGTGTTTCTCCCAGGCCTAGGCACATCTTTTAATGTGTGTGCAACAGTAGTGGTAGTTGGTGTGTATGGAGGGGACAGTGCCGGTGTGTGTGCAAGCCCCAGAGGGTGTTTTGGTGCAACAAAATGCCACGATGTGGTGGCAGGTAGGGATTTTGCTGAGCGTTGTTAACCTTTCATGAGGTTGTTGGTTCACAGAGTTCAGCCTTCTCAGAAATGTCTTAGATGCATGGTGAGTAACATCTCTCTGTTTTGGGTTTTGACCAGGTGCCCTGCCTTGCTAGTGGTTGGTGACAACTCGCCTGCTGTGGAAGCAGTGGTATGTATATGTGAACTTTTTCCTCTCATGACTTTAAGCCTGCACGTCACTTAGGAAACCTGCCTCACCCAGCAGTGCTTTCAGCTTGCCCAGAACTGGTCACAGAATGTGGCTCTTTGTCCCAGGCTCTTTCCCCAGCTATTGAGACCTGTCGGCTTCTAGTGGGAGAGCCAAGGCTCAGGGGGCTTAACGGCCCTGCAGGGCAGCTCTAAGGTGAGGGTGGCAGGATCTGAATATGAGTCCTTTTGCCCAAGCATCTTGCTTAACAAGCGATGCAGAGGACCCCTGTCAGGAGCTTGCGCCTTTCCCCAAGCTCTGCCATGCTGCTGCCTGAACTTCAGTTCAAGTCATTTACTGTTCTCTTGCTGTTGTACTGAGGCTACCTGGGGTTTAAAAATAAGCAGCGTGACTCCAGTTCCTGTAGTGGGGAGTCACACAGGGCTCTGCAAAAGCACTGTATCATAGGGAAGGCAACACTTAGAAGCATCTCCTTCCTGTTGTTCTCTGCAGACACCTGTAACCCACTTCCCTCCCAGCACAGTTATAAATGGAGTGCGGCACAGTGCAGCATGGTTGTGGTGGACATTGCCCCCCGCCCGTCAGCCAGTGTTTATGGGGAGACCAGGGCGTTGTGAAAAAAAGAAGTTGTCTTAAGAAACCATGGAAGAGTGTAGGAGTCTCCTAAAGCAGTATCTTGGACCTAGGAGCTGTGCATGGAGACCTTCTGCAGGGCTTTTTCTGGTCATGGCCTGTTGCCTTTTCATCAGTTTGGTCTAGAAGTCTGAGACATTCTCCAAGTTTTGACTTCGCTAGGATAATATTCCTGAGGATTATTATTGCTTCCCAGCCACAGCTGGGGGACAGGATAGGGTCTTCTGGATCTTGGCTTGCCTATCTGGTTGCCCAGGTTCCCAGCTCATAATAATCTCCACTGCTTGGGATTGCTTTTCCTACAGGGCCCCAACCTATTCCCTTTTTTGCAACAGCCTTACAGAGAAGAGGTGGCTGTGGCCTCCTTGTCTGTCCAGGGGATTGAGTGATCTCCCTCCGTGCTGCACTGCACAGAAGTCTCCTTCCCTCCCAGTCTTGCTGTCAGAGCCCAGAAGGTGCTCCATGGTTCTATGGTGCATCCCCAAAACCAGAGGATGTTTTCCCTTGGAGTCATGGCCCCATCTCTCATTCTGTCACCATGAGGTCCCCTTGGAGGGGAACACCTGCCTTTCTTCTCTGCATCTGTCGTGCACTGTTCTCTTCCTACACGCTCTCTGCTTTCTTGCTCAGTCCTTGGCCACGGAGAAGTTTCCGCTGCTGAAGACAGCCACTGTCTCTGGTGCAGCTGCCCTGCATTTTACATTTGACTCTTCCAAGTTTTCTGTGTGATATCATGTCCCTCTTTCCTCCTTTTATTTTAGGTTGAATGCAATTCACGTCTTGACCCAACCAAAACTACCCTTCTGAAGGTGAGTGCCACTCCAGAATCGTTCCAGCCTGCACAAAGACATTATTTTTGCTGAGGCAAGCTCCACTTAGCTTTTTTGCCTTCCATACATTTAGCTGTAAGAACTTTGTGGACGGTCATTCAGGGCTGTGTTCTCTCCTGTGTGGAGCCAGACTTGGGAGAGGAGAGTTTGTCAGGGCGTCCCTGAATCCCTGCTTTATGGCCGCTTCCCTGTTATCTTCAGCTGGCAGGGAAGACTTGCTGAGAGTTAGCAGAGCTGCCCTGCCTCCACCCTGCTCTCTGCCAGCAACAACATCACTTTTTCTAGCTTTTTCAGTCCATCCTATCCTCACATATGGCTCCACAGCGTGCCGGACAGCTTCTGTATAGAAACGTAAAGTGACTGGTTTGGGAAAAGTGGCAGGAGGAGCCAGGATGGCAGAGGGTTCTAGAGGATGGCCTGATGTCACTTGGTAATGAAGCCTCCAAGGTCCCAGGCTCCTCCAGCAGCAGACACCCAGAAGATGTATTGCTAGGCCTTGCTTCACCTTCAGAGGCGAGTTGTGGAAGTGTGCCTCAGCAGCAGTGGAGCCTGGTGCTGTCAGCCCCGGCAGGGTGGGAAGTGCTGGCACAGTTCTGGGGTTGTCCTCCTGGGGTGGGAAGGGTGGTTCAACCCCCCTCTTGTTTCTTGTTGCAGATGGCCGACTGTGGGGGCCTGCCCCAGGTGGTTCAGGTGAGATATGCCTCTCGACTGCCACGTGGCATGAGTTGTGTAGAGCCCCTTGCTCTGCTCACGCTAACGCCGCACTTTCTGTTTCCACAGCCTGGCAAGCTGACTGAAGCCTTCAAGTACTTTGTGCAGGGAATGGGCTACAGTAAGTGGCAAACAAAATTTTCTGGTTTGGAGCGGGGTTGTTGTGAAGGGAACTCAGCCTTTCTGGTCCATCTGAGCCCATTGGCATCTGTGTCCCCACCTGTGAGTTAGTGTGGTCTCCAGGAGATCCATCCACGCTGGAAAATCAACTAGTGTGCTAACAAGCCTCAGCAAGTTCCCTGACTTGTGTTTAATCCGCACTGCAGCTGGAGTGATGACCCCTTTTTGGTTGCTGGTGTTGGTAAAACCTTGTAAGTCCATCACTTTGTGCCAGTCCAGAAAAGCGTGCTCCCAAGAATGGTAAATCTTCTGAAATTGTCTATGCTCACCTTCTCTGGAGGGGAAGGAGTTGCAGAACAGCCTCACGGTTGTGATGGGTACATGAGAGCTCTTTCCTTTCTCCTCAGACATACCTATTTTTTTCAGACTCTTACCAGGGGTAAGTGATATCTCAGAATGAAACCCTCTAATGGCAGAACAGAGCTGGGTGACTTCTGAGAGTCACCTGGGGAGCCCAGAGGGAGCTGTGCTTTGATCCAGTGCATGCTCTGCCCTCTCTGCTTGCAGGTGGAAGGCATCGTGTCCTGAGTGTGCCAGGCTGGTGGCTGTTCAGCTCCCCTGTCCTCGGTGCTCCAGAGACTGGGGGACCTCAGGAGAAGGGCTTCCCAGTGCACTAAAGCAACTCTCTCCATTGCAGGCACCTTGGCACAGCTGTGTCTCACCTGCCAGGGGCCAGGGCTAGGAGTTCCCTTCTGTGGATGATGAACCTTCAAAAGCTGGAATTATGGGACGGGTTGGCTCATGTGACTGGTTGACTGCCAGCATGGCCACCATGGCAGCTGTGGCACTCTCAAAGGTCTCCACATGGCCAGCAGTTCTTTGCCAACTCATGGGCATCAGGGCTTAGAAGCTGTCCTTTTCCTTAGAGCTATGTGTAGCTGACATGAGTGTTGTAGGAGAATCATGTTCTCAAAGGCTGCCCAGAAGAGCCCGGCCCTGCAGAGGAGGGTGCTATGTGAGAAGGCTCCCTCAGCCTCTCAGCCTGAGAGCATTTCAGTGTTCATGCCTCTTGTGTTCCTGGTGTTAGAGCACAGACTTCAGCAGCACTTTAGGGGTCAAATCTCTTGCAAATAGGATGCACAGAACTGGGGAAGGACAGAGGGTAATTTTCTACTTCCAGAATTAGTACCTAGTCACAGAATGGTTTTCACAACTTTGATTGGCAAGGCTGTGTTGGCACTGCTGAGCTTGGCCGGTGAGGCCTCCTCTCTCGGGGAGAACAAGAGAGAGGCAAATCAGCAGCTTGCAGAAGTGCACAAGCCAGTTCCTCAGCAGCTATTCTTGTGCCTTCTGCACATTGGCTGAAACAGTTGGACCTGCCTGTGCTGGCACTGCAGGTGGAAGGCTGGTAGCAGAAATCTGATGCTGTCAACTCAAGGAAGGACATGAATTTCTGTTCCCTATCTGGAGCTACAGCATATACCCATTTCCCCGCCATAGGAGAATGACATCTCTGAGCAGTTGTGGGGAGGTAGGGTCACCAGATACATTGCAATTTCCAGCTAAAGGTATTCAAGAGCTCTGGCCCTGATGGATTTCTGAGTCAGCTTGGCATCTCCCTGAGAATGCTCATTAGCAGCTGTTCTCACAAATACGGGGAGCTTTCCAGTGCAGCGTGTAAGCTGGGAGTGAAAGGCGAAGTAGCTGGGGATCCCAGGAGCAGTGCTGCTGCTAGTCACACACCGCAACTAATTGGCTCTTTCCTGTATTCATCCCTTTCCTTGTCTCATGTTGTTTCCAGTCCCTTATGTGCAGCTCAGCCACCTAAGCACTGAGTCAGGTACCTTCAACTGTGCATCCACCTCGGCCCAAGTCTGTGTACTGAGTTGAATGATTCTTCGGGTGCATTGCTCTGTCTCGGCATGTCCTGCTGCAAGCTAGGCTGATCCATTGTACAATGTGTATGCTGCGGTTTTTCACCTTTCATTTGTATTTTGTTGATTGTTGCATGACTTCAGCGCTGTGGTTTTCTAGAGCGACGAGCCTGACTTTCAAAAGGTCATCTTTCCAAGGGCTGCCTTGGTCTGCACCGACACTCACCATGACTGCACTTGCAAATGGTCAGTTACACTGCTGGCATTTGCGCACCTTGGACCTTTTGAAACTAGGCCTTAAACATTTTGCTTTAGACATGCAAAGACTTAATTTTGGCAGTGAAGAGTGAGTTTTCTTCCTGAGGGTATAGCTCTTCTTGTGCTTACCCAGTGACACATATCTGAGTGATGTGATACTTGCTCTAGGAGCTTCCTCCTTCTCTAAGTCCCATGCTTGTTCTTTCTTGCAGTGCCAGCAGCCAGTATGACCAGGCTGATGCGCTCCCGTACTCACTCCTCCTCTAGCGTGGGCTCTGGGGAGAGCATCCGCAGCCGGTCTCACACCAGCAACCACGGTGATGGAAGTGCTGGAACACCAGAAGGAATTGACCTCCAGGATGCACCTCAAACCATGGAAGTATCCTGTTAGGCAGGAGCCCCTCTTCTGGATTCAGACAACTCTACTTGCCCCCACTGAACCCATTCAGAATCTAGCATTTCATCCAACATGGCATTAACTGTTCTCTCTAACTTGTGCATGGCCACCTGAGCTGCCACCTCCTTGGTAGTCTGTACTTGGCATTACTTTGGTCCTTTCTGTATGCCCTTGGCATCAGAGCCTCTTTAAAACTCATTAACGTTCTGCAGTCTTAGTAAGTCACGTTACTGTACATGCTGATTACCATCTCCTGTCTGTGCTGTGTATCAATCCAGATGACAGTCATTGTCTCCCCTGTTTATTTAAATATAATTTCTGTGGCTTTGTGAGGTTTAGAATTGCTTTCTAGTTGTGCTTCTGCTAAAGGACCCTTGTGGTGCAGTTGGTATGGCTTCTGTGAGATGTGGGAAAGCAAGACCGTGATGATGTGAAACTCCGGGTGCTGGAGCTCTTTGGCAGAGCTGTGCCTGGGGTGCAGAACCCACCAGAAGGTCTTTGTGTTCCTAGCACTCTGGGCATGCCAGGCAGCCGTGGGGGAAAAAAATGGTCAGAAATACTGTCTTGGTCTCATCTCTGTACGTGTGTTAAGAAGGAGCAAAGTGATTTCTTACCTGAGCTTCCTGAAAGGGCAAAGCAATTAACAAGTAAACTTACACTAACCGAGGTGCACTATTAACCAAGTACAAGGGATCAAACTGCAGCAGCCCTGGCTTCCAGACCGCTTCTGCTGACCCTCTGCCTCCCCTGCAGACTTCGTCCAGACGCAGTTAACGCGTTGTTGCTGTTCTATGCTGGCACAGGTGAAACTTTAACATCAAGTAGGTTGTGAAACGGGCAGCAGTGCCCCTTGCCAGATGGAGAGCCAGAAACCTCCTGCACTGCCAGCCCCAGACAGGCTGGCTGCACAGTGGTTGAACCCTGGCTCAGGAGGTACCAGTAAATGTACATGACTGCCAGCCGGTGCCCATTCCTGCCCGTTGGGTCACAAGTGTGAGCAGGGACTGCCTCCATGCAGGCACTATTTACTGCCTTTGTGGAATTCACAATTCTGCTGCCTTTTTACATCTGGCCGGGTCGCAGAGGGTGGGAGGCAAATGCCTGCTGCATGCCAGGGTCTCGCTGTTACTGGGAGAAAAGGGATGAGTGGTCAGGCTACTACAGGTCTTGATAGGTGAGCAAAACATTCTTTTGTAACTGTTGAGCAGTCCTGACTGGCTGGGAGCCAGCTCCTCCGAGGGTTGTGCTCATGTTCTGCTCCATTTCAGGTAGGGAAATGGGACTGGGAGGCTCTGCCTGAGTGGGACTTTGTACCAGTTATTAAATAAAGCTATAACTGAGTTTCATTGTTACTCTGTGTGCTCGTGTTGCTTCTGTTGGCCACAACCTGACACCCCTGCCAGTTTTTGGTGTCTCCTACCGTCAGAGGCAAACTCTGTCATGTGAAAGGGGTAGCACTGGCCACCTCTTGCGAGAGGCATCCCTGCAGCCATGTGGGAGTGGCGTGGCTGGATGCCCCCATGTCCCCTGGAAGAGCCTGTCTGAAGGCCCTGCGGAGTAGGCTTCTGCAAAAATGCAAAGAGTCCCAGCTTTGACAGAGTGGAGCCTGAACGCCAGGTTGGCTGTGAAACCGGCACGCCACCAAGAACGGCCTCCGAGGAAAGGCAAGCACTAGGAGCCACCTTCCCTGGTGAGCAGCGCTTGGCACTAGCATGGTTTTTATGGGTGTAACACAAGGTTAACCTGTAAACCCTGTGACAAAGCCATTGTCGTGACATGAAAAGGCAGAGGGCAGGCAGCATGAGGCCTGCTCGCAGATCTGCCCCTTGCACCGCAGCCAGGTGCAAGCGGAGTGATGCGCGGCAGCCAGTTGTTGAACACAGCCGTTTCATCTTCTGCTTTCCGGATTCACTGTTTTGCTCTCGAGTTTCAGATGTCTGTCGTCTCACATTCACAGAAAGCTGGCTGGGACTGAGGAGGGGTTAAACTGATGGTCACAGATTAGTCCCAGCCTTGCCCATGGGGTGGACTCCTGCAGCTTCCTGCTTTGGGGAAGGGCTGCGCAGAGGGGTCCTTGCGGGAGGTGAGACAGTGTTTTCATGGATTGCAAACGATGCCAGGTGAGAAATGGGGAAAATGGGCCAGTTGTATTAGTGAGCGAGCAGTGAAGGGACAAAGTGATTAATGAACAAAAATACAAGTTTGAGTCTATAGAAACAGGAAACGTAGCAGAGAGGCCAGGCCACCAAGTTCCACATGAATTTCATTGCTGCTGAACGCGAGCGCTGGGCGCAAAGCAGTGTATGCAGGAGAAGAGCCGATGTGCATGCAGCACTGTGATTTATTGCCAGCTAACGACACTGAGAAATGGTTCTTCCTCAAGTTCCCTTATGAAAACACAGCAGGCCAAAAGAAAGGCACGCGCTATTAAAATGACACTGAACTGAGTTAGAGGAAATAATCCCACAGCAGGGGTTGGTGAGAGCTGGCAGGGCACAGTTTGTGATCACGTGGAGCAGAGAGCTCAGAGCTGCAGGCAGCCAGTGCATGAGGAACCCGGGAGACTAAATGGATGAGATTTTTAGCAATTGGGAAGGGTGGTGATTAATAAGAGAGGTGTGTTGCCATGGTGGTTCATAGGCAAAAGCAGGGCAAGCTCGGTAGTGAGGTATTTTATTACCTCAAGGATAACTGGAAAAAAATAAACTTGTTTTCACATAAGCAAGTGCTTTTCCTGGTAAAAATAGAGAAACCAAAGCTAAACACAAGTTTAGAAGTTAGTTTAATAAAGGACAAAATGTTTCTTTGGGTGGCACGAGCGATGCCAATATCAAATCTGGGAGCAGAGCTCACACAGGACAGGCTTCCCTGGGCTGGGACCCCCAACTGCAGCAGCGCTGGTCCTGCTGGGGCGTGGGCTGGACACCCACTGGTGGCACAGGCAGACAGGGCTGTGCCTTTCCACACCTCGAGGTCAGCGTCGGTCCCTGTGGGGTACCCAAGTGTCGCCAAGACCTTTCTTCTGGCTGGAGGTGGCATGCCTGGGGAGGGGGCTCAGTCAGGGCGGGTGGGCAGATGGAGCTAGCGCTTGCCAGCTCTCCCGAGGACCAGACGCTTAACTGCTCAAAGCCCTGGGACAAGTGCATTCAGAGACATGTCAGCCCAGGCTCCCGAATCTGTGTATCAGTAAAAGTACCCATCAGCAGCATGGGGTGAGGCTTGCCAAGCACAGCTCTGCTGAAGGGTTCTCTGGGTCACTGGTGGAAAAACAAATCTTGGCCGTGGGTTGAGGTTTCTGACAGGCAACTGCTGTGCTGCTTGTGCTGGAAGGTGCCATATGTTACCCAGAAAACCACAATCCTGGGGAGCAGGCAGCTTCGCTCTGCCCTCCCAGCCCCGTGGCCCCAGCTGCGGTAGCAGCACAGCCCCTGCCCAGGTTGAAGCACCCTGCGCGCTCAGCTGGACATGCTCCTTGGGGATAGGTGATGGAGTGAAACTCTTCTTGGTGGTGCCAGACGATGCTGCGAGGAGTAATGGCCAGAAATTTTGGTTTGGGAGGCTCATAACTGGTATTGGGATTTTTTTTTTTCCTCCCTTGTTTTTAAGCCAGGAGGGTGGTGCAGCTGTGGGCTGAGTGATGGGGAGGGAGGGATGTCCAGCCATGGATGGTTTCAAGCTGGAGCCGCAGCCAAGCTGGAGTAGCTGGTGACAGTCACATATTGAAGAGGCAGCAGGCCTGGGGAGGCTCCTCCCCCCCAAAACTCCACTATTTGATCTTCTCCTGAAACCACCCGCAGGGATGGTTGCTGTGGCATTCCCACCCATGCACTAAGCTAAAGGCCCTTTGCCCAGCCCCACTGTCCAGGGTGAGGGGGTGGGGGGGACTGGTGGTGGTGGTGTGACTGGGGGGCCCCATTTTATTCACCAGCACTAAACCAAGAAAGTGCTTGGCAGCCCAGAGCTGGGCTCGGGGTGCTGAGCCGTGTTTGGGACAGGTCATGGCCAGGGTTGGACTTCACAACCCCGGGGACCCCAATGGGGCTTCATCACCCCTTCCAGGAGCAAATAAATCTCCCAACCACAAAAAGCCCCTTGCAAGCCAGCAGTGTCCGAGCTCAGAGCAGGCGCAGGGGAGGCCCCAAACCCCAGCAGCTGCAGCGGGCGGGTGGCTGCTTTCGTAAAAGCCCTTTGCTGTGTGCATTTCACACCGTCACGGTGGTTTACAACTGACCAGAATTTTTCAAGGGCACAGCAGAAATAGCAGCAGGATGTTCAGCTGCAGCAGCATGGCCAAGGCAGGAGGCCACTGAGCAGCCAGAAGCTGCAGAGCGAACCCAAGGCCTTTCCTCAGCAGAGGCTCCTGACCCCAGTGGTGGAGGCTGGTGCTGGATAGGGCGAGGATGGGCATGTAGGGATGAGGATGAGGATGGGATGGGTATGAAGCTGGGGCTGTGGATCCTCCCACACATAACCCGGCCAGGCAGTGGGCTTGGCAGAGCAGCTGCCATGCCAAGGAGGCACCAGGAACACCCTGTGGTTTGTCCTGGCTAGGGGCTGTGCTTGTCCAGCTTCAACCACCAAGTCCTGGAGCTGGCACTGCTCCCGCTCGCAAACGCCGCCCATCCCTCCTACTTACCCCACCCCAAATCCCATGCAGTGCCCATAGTGCCCTCAGGGATTTTCTTAGGCCTTGTGCTCCATACCGAGGTCTCCTGAGGCTCAAAGCTGAGCAACCTGTTGGCTGAGTGAAAAGAGAAAACCCCGCTCTGGTGCATGCGCACGTCACAGGAAACAGTGGCAGCTGCAGCCCTGGCGCCTCACACCCCACCCAAAAAAATGCACAAGGGACCACCACCACCACCACCACCACCACCCCCCCCACCACCACACGGTGCCCTGGGGACCCACCACGCTGGAGCAGCACCCTGCAGGGCAGAGCCCAGCCAGTGCCTGCCTGGCACTGATGGCTCCCGCACAATGGTAACAGCAGCGAGAGGCAGGTAAGTGGGGGTCACCCCCTGCCCCCAGGGCAGCAGTGGGTCTTGGGGCAGGGGGTGTTGGGATGGGGTGGCCCACACAGCAGGGGACAATGGGCTGGGGTGGGATGGCAGCACCCAGAGGGTGAGCATGGCCAGTTGCTGCCCACCATGGGGATGTGGATGGGGAGGGCCCCCAGCTTACCCCAGCTGTGACCACGACTCCTCAGACACCCTCTGGGGCTGCAGGGAGATGGTTTCCTTGAAGGGCTCCCTGGGGAGCTGCCTGCCAGGTTCAGCCCCAGCCCACATCCTTGGCCTGGCCCTGCCTTCCTTGGGAGCCACCACGCTGGCATCACCCCACAGTGATGCCCTTACCCGGGGCACAGGGTGGGTGACCACGACCCATGAATTTGCATCCCAACACGGCTGTGCACAGGGCTCATGGCGCTGCAGGGGCCAACCGTTCTGCCCAGGGCCCATGGTGCTGCTGGTGCTAAGCCCGAGCCCCCTCTTCCCCCCCAGCCAGCAGCAGCCGAGGCTGGGGGCCAGGGGCACGTGCTGACCTTGAGGGATGGGAAGCCTGCCCAGCCGGGAGAAGCCACTCAGCAGCCCACCAGTGGCTGCCGACACCACACAGCCCCCCTTGCCCACGCAGGCAGGTAAGCACCTGGCAGCCACCAGCTTGGCCAGTGTCCCCCAGTGTGCACAGTCCTCCCGCCCCAGCTGGGGCCAGATGGTGCTGGGGGAGCGCTGAACCCTCTCACCTTCCCTGCAGCCCCCAGTGGCTTCCTGGCCCTGGCCCTCTGCGACTTCCCCTCTGGTGTGGGCACGGCTGCTGTCCTGAGGATGGGGGAGCAGCTCCGTGTCCTCTCTGAGTAAGTCCTCGCACCAAGTGGGCACTCCTGACCAGTGTGCAGCCCACAAGGCCATGATGGTGGCACCTGTCCTGGGTGCCCCCTCCCTGCACCCACCACCCTTGGCCCCTCAGGATGGCTCATCCTCCTTCCCTGCAGGGACGGGGAGTGGTGGCTGGTGGCATCTGAGGTGTCTGGCAAGGAGTGCCGTGTCCCCAGCAGCTGTGTGGCCAAGGTCAGGCACAGGTAAATGCTGGGAAGGGTACATCTCAGGGTGGGTTCCAGGGGACATGGCCCCACTGCAGCAACCCTGGCCAACCCTGAGGCTGAACGCCAGCCACCATGCCGGAACATCCCGCTTTGTTTCTCTGCTTGGGCTGTGGAGCAGCACTGGGGCTTAGGGAGGCAGCACAGTGGGCCGGGGTGTCCCCAGGATGTGAGCTGCTGTACCCCAAGCCATCCCCTCCACCCCGGTCGGGGCAGGATGGGTCCTGGGTGTCCCTGCACAGCCAGGAGAGGCTCTGCCAGCACCCACTGCCTGCACAGGTGGCTCTACGAGGGCATCAGCCGGCAGAAGGCAGAGGAGCTGCTGCTCCGGCCCGGCAACCATAGCGGGTCCTTCCTGATACGGGAGAGCCAGACCAGGCGAGGTGAGAGCCCTTGGGCCCCATCTCCTGTACCCCCTCCCAGTCATCCCCACTGGGGTGCCGAGGGCATGAGCAGGGCCCTAGTGGGGATGCTCCTCCATTGCTTGCACCTGGTGGCAAGGGCCTGCCCCACACAGCAGTTTCCTGGTGCTGCTGCTCCCTGCTTCAAGCTGAGCTTCTGCCACAAAAGGCAAAAACCACCAGCAGGCTTCCTGCAGCTCTTGGTTAAGCAGAGAAGTGAAAAGGCTCAGCTTCTGAAATGAAATGGGGCCCCACCATAAGGTGCTGGGGGGATCCCGCAAGGAGATCCTGCCAGGTGCTCCAGTGCGTGCAGCTGATGCACCAGCTCAGTGCTGCGTGGCCCCACGGCTGCCTCGGCACCGAGGGGGCCATGGGGGGCTGGGACCAGCCCATCCCTGCACAGCACCCCGAAGAGGAGTCTCGTGCACAGAGCCGCAGCACCCGATGCTGAGGGTGGGTGGGACACAGCCAGCAACTGCCCAAGGTCATCCCATGTCCCTCAAGCCCCATGCCCCTGCCTGGAAGTGCTTCAGGCATGGGGCTGCCACAGGGATGTTCACAGCACTGATGTGAGAGTGCACAGGGCAGAGGGGCTGAGTAGGGTGGGTGCCCACAGCAGCCCAACCACATGCCCTTCACCCTGTGCCCCATCAGGCTGCTACTCGCTGTCGGTGCGCCGCAGTGAGCATGCCTCCTGGGACTCAGTGACGCACTACCGCATCCATCGCCTGGAGAATGGCTGGCTCTACATCTCGCCCAGGCTCACCTTCCCCAGGCTGCACGACCTGGTGGACCACTACTCCGGTAACGCCCTGCCAGCCCCCTGGCACTCCCAATCTATGTGCATGGGGATACCCTGCACCCTGCAGGGAGGGAGGGGGGGGAAAGGCAGCACTGGCCCTGCCTCCCCAGGTGCCCCCGGGGTTGGGGTGTGGGTGGGGGGCACCTGCTGATGCTGCTGACTCCCTGCCCAGAGTTCGGAGACGGGCTGTGCTGCACCCTCAGGGAGCCCTGTTCCACAGAAGGCGCAAGGGTGGCCCCCATCCCAGCCCTGCCTGCTGTTGTGAAGAAGCCATCACTCAACTGGGACAAGATCGACAGGTAGGGACAGCCAGGGAAGGGGCTAGGGCTCCCCTCACTGCCTCTGCTAGACACCCAGGGGTCTGGGGGCTGCCCACTGACTGTCCTGTCCATCCTTGCACAGCTCCCTCCTGTTCTCAGATGCTGCGTCCCCACCAGAGGAGGACTCTCCCATCAGCCTGGGCCTGAGGGAAGCCATCAGCTCCTACCTCCTCCTGACAGAGACAGCCGCTCCCAAGCAGGGCCCTGTGGGGAAGGGGGCAAAGAGCAGCTGAGGGCAGGGCCCCGCTTCACCACAGCCCTGCAGCAGCCACCCACCTGTTACAGCATTTGCCCTGGTTTCAGCCACGATCACTCATTGATGCCATGGGAGCCAGGCACCCAAGGGCTGTTGGCTTGGACATGGGACAGCTGAGACGAAGGTGGGGATGAGGAGGCACCAATGCTGGAGAAAGGGGATGCCAAGGGTGCTTTGGGAGGTGATGTTTGAGCACCCCAAGCACCACCCAGTGACCACAGGAGGAGAAGGCAGAGGCTGTACGTAAAAGGAGCCCTGCCCACCCTACAGGCTGCAACAGGGCCCCACTGCATCTGCACTCCCACAGCCACAGGGAAATGGGATGCAAATGCCCAAGGAGCCAAAGCCTGGCCGAGGTGGGGGAGCAGCCCAACCCCATCAGATGTCTCAAGTTCATGCGCAACCTTTTTTGCGGGGTGTGTGTGTCTGTGGAGGACAGCGCCAGTGAGCAGCAGCCACGGACCCTCAAGCTCTCACCTGCCCCTAACTCCCCCCTCTGCTTGTTGGCACCAGCAGAGCAGCAGCTGGGGAGAAACCAGCCTCTTACTGCACTCAAAGTAGCTGATTTTTAAACCTTTTAACACATGGATTGTACTGGGTTTAAGGTCCATAAAACAGGATCTTGCTGGACAGGCAGCAGTACCCATTTATAATACCTTAATTAAAGGACATCTTGTTCACAGTTGAGGGTTTGTGAATAAATCATGAACTGACAGCTACAACCACAGGGCAGGTTTCCACCCACCACCGCCTGGGAGGTTGCTCCTGCCATGTCTGTCACCCAAGCCTTGCCACCAGTTTTCCCCAACCTGGGGCTAAACCAACTGCCATGGGTCCAGGTCAGGTCTGGTCCTCAGCCAGCTCACGTAGGGCAAATTAATAAGCCCCAGGGGTTTTAAAAATGTTTAACAATACAACGGCTCTTCTAGGCACAATGGAGAAAGAAACAGAAAGAAATGGGTCCATGCCAGAACTAAATGATCCAAAAAGGCAGAATTGGTCCAACCCAGATCAAAGCCACATCTCTGGGCTAGAGGGGGGCCTTAAAATCAGCAGAAATGCCTCAGAACTGCAACATGCCTGAGCCTTCACTTTCAACAGCTCCTTATCAGCAAAGCAGGGCCCAGGGAAAGCGCCTGAAGCTTCCTCTGTGGGTGAGAACCGGCGCAGAAGCAATTGCACTGCTTGGTGACATCCCTTCCTTCCTTTCCTCTGCGCGCAGAGGCTGGTGCAGCAGAACCCCCCCTTATCTGCAGGTTTCCTGCCTCTGACAGGCTCACATCTCCTCCTCAGGTTCATGGCTGACGAGCTTGCTCTTGCAACCCCCCCGTCACTTTTCTCATTTCCTTCCCCACAGCTTCACGCACCCACTCAGCCCTCAGCCTCAAGCCCAGGTGTCTTTTCAGTGCAGGTCAGGGTTTATCCCTCAGCCTTGCCCCTGCCCTGCAGCCAGCTGCACCTGCTTGCTGTCACCCCTGGGGGCACCCCCAGGCAGCTCAGAGGGTTTTTCCTTCCTTTATTTTTGCCATTAACGCACATTGCATTAATGAAGGCTGGCTCTTAGACTCATAGAATCACTTAGGCTGGAAGAGACCTTCGAGACCATCAAAGCCCAACCATTCCCCTAACCCTGCCATCCCACCACTAAACCCTGTCCCTAAGCACCTCATCTGCCCAGCTTTTAAATACTCCCAGGGATGGGGACTCGACCCCTGCCCCGGGCAGCCCATTCTTGGGCCTCCTTCCTCCACCTCCAACCGGGATCCAGGCTGTGGGATGGTTTTTACACCACGGTGATGGTGCTACCTCAGACTGGAGGCAGCCAGTCAAAAATCCGCTTCTCTGGTATTTGTATCCTGGTGACTGGCAAGAGGGGAAATACCCGGTTGGAAAGCCTATTTGAGTGTTACCCCACTGCTGGCAGCCTCCGAGCTCTCCTCCTTCCCAGCCCCAAAAGATCCCTCTTCTGTGCACACTCCACTTGTGCTGGGAAATGCCTCCGCAGGCCCCCGGAACAGTGGGGCAGTGGCACCCCAGGCAGCAGCAGCTGCTGCTGGGGGGAACCCAGGGCACCCAGCCTTGGGGTGCTGCCATCCCCGTGCCCTACCTCCCACTGTTAACACCACAGCCCCTGTTAACATCACAGGCACGAAGCCAGATGCCAAACACTTTTTTTTTTTTAACAGCTGGAAGAGGCAGAGAGCAGGTCCTGACATCTCCCAGCAGCAGCTCTTGCCCCAGGCAGGGGCTGCAGGGCTGAGACCCTAAAGGCTGTTAAAGGGAACAAGCCCCGAGGAGGTGCCAGGATGGGCAGCCATGGATACCCAGATGGGACAGGGGCTGCCGCCTGTCCTCGACAGAGGGGCTCCAAGTGCCCATGATGCTCATGGGAAGAGGAGCTCCTTGGATGCTCTCTGCTGCATGTTGAGGGCAAACTGAGCTTGCAGAGCTGTGGCCACTTTGGCCAGATCAGCCATGCTGTGGAGAGTTCTCCTCCGAGGGCCTCGTCACCGGCTTCCTCTGAAGTGACAAGTACACAGTGGCATTCAGACATGCAGCCTTGCCATACAAGCCTATGCTTTGCCCTCTATGCCCACCTGAAGCCAAACCGTTTGGGCATCTCTTTCACAAGAGCAGCCACTAAGCATTTTCTGGGATCAAAGGGACTTCTGAAGGTATTTGGAGGAGCTGCAAAATAGCCAAAGTACCTCCAGCAGCGTTGGACATCTATTCAGAGGACACAGCCCTTGCTGGAGCCAAGATTCAGTGTGGCATTCAGCAAATGAGTACTCCAACTGACACACGAGGGTACAGAAACCCACTGCTTGACAAGCAGGTCCTTCCCACCACGTCCCTTGCAATAGCATACATACTCCATCTGCATCACTTAAAACCTGCACCGTCCAAAAGCTCAGCGGGTGCACACAACCCCTCCTCTCCTTCCCCAGAGCCCAAAGTACCAACACCCCTAAGCAGTGGGAAACAGGGCCCACACCGTCCTTAAACTTGGTGCGCAGCGTTAACCAACAAGACGCTGTTGCATCATTCAAACACCTCAAAGCACCACCAGCAATGGCCCTGCAGGCAGAATGTGGTGAATTCCAACTTTTTCATTTTGTTCTGTTTTCTGGTCTGTGTGTGAGTTCTAATAGGAAAAAATCATCGCATTTTCTGTTTTTAAGTACTTGCCTATTTGAACATCAGCTTTTTATTGGTTACCTCTAGCAGGCATTAACCAGACAAGAGCTGTACATAGTTTTTTTCCCTTTACAAGAGAACTGCGGTGCAAATACTGAAGGATTAGTACCGAGATACGAAATACTCTTCCCCATAAGTAGCCTGTACTGCAGTAGCCTGAAGTGCTCAGCAACACTATTGGAAACACCAGACGAAGCATCAGCCCCGAAGGCTTTCCCAGTCTGACAGAACACCAGCGCTGCCGCAGCAGGGGCGGTACATGGAGGCTGACAGATGGCTTGGAACTGCTCCATGCCAGCAGAGCCTGCCTGCCCCTACGAGAATCTTAAGATCAAGGAGGTAAGATAGGGAGCTTGAACAAGCTCAAACCAGAGGGCACACATCCCCATAAACACAGCGTAGCCACAGCATGTGTTTCAGTAAGTTATTCCGAATTCAGAACATGACATTTAAGTGATCAGCAAAGCGTATACCATTTGATTGAACTGTGAAACACACACCTGGATCTGTCACCAGCAGCAGGGCTTCCTCCAGGCTTCACAAACCTGGCTCTAGCAGAACAATACATCCTCTGGCCTTAAAATCCAGCAGTTTTACAGCAATCTTGTTTTGAGAACAAAATTAGGAAGGGCAGTTTGTTAGGACAAGGGAATAAACTTGTTTTCCTCCTACTGGGGAAACTGAGAGGGGAGGAGACAAGCAGAATGCAGCTGAAGGCACACTGATGCCTGCCTCCGCCTTCAGGCACACCCTGTGCCAGGTACTTTCTCCTCCAGCACTTCCCAGCTTCTCCCCCACCCACGCCACTGCATTTGCTCTGTATGGATTGGCCAAATGCATCAAAAGCTCCTTCCTTTGCAGCAGCGCTCCCTCATTCATTGAACATGCAGCTTCTACCCCAGGCTGGCTGCTGCTGCCCAAAGTGTGACAGCAGCTCTCAGGAGCGCAGCACCCATGTCTTGTGCAGCACAACCCTCCCAAACCCACCTGAAACTCAACTGCCAGCCTGCTGCTACATGTGCAAAAGACATTTCCACCTGAAAATCGCATAGTAATGACAAATTCTTCCCCATGCAACTTGTCCCAATTCACCGGTCTCAGGAACTGTTCAGGGAAGCTATGCCTTCAGGTCTCCACACTCGTGGAGCGAGCATCCAGGCTTCACACTCCTCTCCTGGCATGGAAGTCTCATGCACGCACCTCCAGATGCAACAGAGCCATGCTGTTCTGCTTGGAGCAGCTTCCTACCCGCAACACTCAAGCTTTTTGTGAAACGCATCAGGGGATGAGCCAGCCCCCCC